GAATGAGTGCTCAGCCCTAAAAAGACATTTATACCACCCTCTCTAAGGCTCAGGGAACACTGCAAAGAGGGGCTGGAAAAAGTGTAAAACCTAAAAATTAGGAGAAGGGCTGGAAAGTATGCAACTGGGCAAGACAGGTCATTCCAATCATAATCTCACAGCAACCATGGATGTTTGTACCATGTAAGAAGAATGGGCCAATCAACAGTCAGGAAGGGATGGAGGAGGAGCTCAAGTCCCTATCCTTCACTGCTCAACTATTTACTACTGTTAACCTCAAGGAGAAAGGAAATCATTGCCTCTGTTTTATCCCCACTGAAGTCCCAGCCAAATTCCAGTACATGGTTTCAATCCAATTGTCACACAGGCGATCCTGGTTAAATGGGTCACAGAACAAAACCAAAAGTCATGAAACTGGAATGGATGAAAGATCACAGAAAGTGGAGGGAGGGAGGCATGGGGGTTCAAGTACATTATACACATGTATGAAACAGTCAAATATCAAAATTAATCAGAATAAAAGAAAGGAAGGAAGGAAGGGAGAGAAGGAGGAAAGAAGGAAGGAGGGAGGGAGGGATGGAGGGAGGGAGGGAAAAAAGAAGGAAAAAATGCAAACCAAAAGAGAAGAAATGTTCTCAAGATTCAAGGAAAAGAGACCCTTTTAGTGGGGCAGTGGTGGTGCACTCCTTTAATTCCAGCACTCAGGAAGCAGAAGCAGGTGGATCTCTGTGACTTCTAGGCCATAGGCCAGCATGGTCTAAAGAGATAGTTCCAGGACAGCCAAGGCTACATAGAGAAATCCTGTCTCGAGAAACCAGAGAGAGACAGAGGCGGGGGTGGGGGGTGGGGGGGTGGGGAATAAATGTTGCCAAGTAGAAATATAAATTAGTCCCACTACTGTGAAAATCAGTATGGAGGTTCCTCAAAAGCCAAAGCAATTTGCCATAACCTAGAATCACGTGACAAGGAGTCTTAGATGAGGAATTGTCTAGGTCAGAATGGCCTGTGAGCACACCTATGGAGAATTGTGTGGATTGTTTAGTGGGGTTAGAGACCCACCCTGAGCATAGGTGGATCCTTTTCACTGGATAGGCTCTGCATGAGGGTGGAGAAAACCAGCTAAGCAGAGGCTGCAAGAAAACAAGCAAGTGTCCAGTTTCTCTCTTCTCTTGACTAGACCACCTGCATGAATTTCTGCCTTGATTGCCCTCAAAGATAGGCTGAACCTGGAATCGAAGCCACTAAGTTGTTCTTTGTTAGGATATTTTATCACAATGGAAATGAAACTAGAATACTAAAACAAACCATAATATAACCCCCTTTGCCAGCCCTGAGTATATACCAAAGGAATCAAAACCAGCATATGGAAGAGATACCTGGATGTTATTGTGAAACTACGCACAAAGCCCACTTATGGCAACAGCCTAGGTGTTTATCAATGGAGAAATGGATTTTTCATTGATCCAGAAATAGTCCTGTTAAGTAAAATAAGCCAGACCCAGAAAACAAATATTGTGTTTTCTCTCATGTGGCAAGTCTATACTTGAAGGGGGCATGAAAATATAATGATGAGTTAAATGGGAAATTTTAAGATGTGAATAAGTTTCATAGAGAGATGTGACAGGAGATGATAACAGGTATGCATGTTATTAAAGTGTGGTATGTACAAGTCTGAAAATTAAATGATGGGACCCATTATTTTGAACAGCTAATTTACTTTAAGAGAAGTAAACTAGGCCCTGGCATGTAGCTCAGTGTTAGAGCACATTGCTAGCATCTGTAAGGTCTTGGGTTTAAGTTGCAATGCTACAAGCGTTTCATCAACCCTAGGTAAAGAGCTACTAATGCAGGAAAACTCAAAGAAGTAAAACTGATGCTATAAAGGATTGACTCATAAACTTGCTGCTTTTGTTGAGGTTTTATTGTTGTGAAGAGGCACCATGACCACAGCAACTCTTATAAATGAAAACATTTCATTGGTGGCTTGCCTACAGTTTCAGAGGTTCCATCCATTATCACAACAGGGAGCATTGTGGCATGCAGGCAGATGTGGTGCTGGAGCTGAGAGTATTACATCACGTTGACTCAACAGGAAGTTGACTCAAAGTCACACTGAGGGCAACTTGAACAAGAGACCTCAAGTCCAACCTCACAGTGACACACTTCCTCCAACAAGGCCACACCTCCTAAAAGTGCCACTCCCATTGGGGGCCATTCTCTTTCAAACCACCACACTTGCTTAGGAAATATTAAATTACACAAAGAAATTGGCTAAAGGAGTGTTACCTCCAATGGTCATGGCAGATAATAGTGTACTCGTCAGGCTTGTTAGAAACTGTAAGAATATTTTGTATAATAATTGAAGTGTGGTGTTGCAAAGAAAGTTTCTGCTAACATTTATTCACTAAGATTGATTTCCAGTTAGGCCCCATCCCATAATAGAAGGAAACAACCTTGACTTACTGCTAGCCATTAGGCCCATTCTTATACCAAAGAATATTCCTCTATCATCAGCACAAGGGGGCAGCTCAGGGTCACAGCCACCAATAACTCCTTGTCTCCCATTAAGTCCCCTGTGTTCCTATCAGATGAAGCATAATTCTGTCAGGTGAGCAAGGTGAACCTGGGTAACAACTATTTGAAAAGAGCAATTCTGCTGCACTTAAGTAATTATGGAAGTATATTTGCTTGTAAATCTCTCATCCACCCAGTGGCCAGACATGCAATTTCTGTTTAAATTGTAGAAACAGAGGGGGCTAGATCTGAAAGAGACTTAAGGATGACAGTGTGTATGGAAGGCATGAGTCTAAGGCCTATATAAGCCAGTAGAACTTCCTGTTCCAGGCCAACTCCTCTGAGCACTAGCCAGAGCTAGATGTAAGCTACTATTTATTTTTACCATTATTATTATTTTACCATTATTATTATTTTTAAAAATTTATTCTATGTGTCTTTTTCATCATGTATCTTGATTCCATTCATTTCCCCATCCCTTTACATTTGCCCTCCGCCCCTGCACAATCCCCCCAAATAAAACAAAATTTAAGAGGAAAAAAAGAAAAAAAATTGAAAAAATTTCATCATGGAAGCTGCAGTGTGACACAGTGAGTTACACCATAAATTCCTTTGTCCATATACTTGCAAATGTTCATTGTAAAGAGTCCTTGGTTTGGTTTGAGATCTCTGGTTTCCATTACACTATTGATTCTGGGTCCTCACTAAGACTCTTCCTGGATATCCTGTTGTTGCCCTGTTTCATGGAGATCCTGCAGCTTTGGGTCTGCGGGTCATGTTCCTTCATGTGCTCAAGAAGGTCATAGGTGGGGTGGATGTTGGGGCGGGCCAACATCCCTGAGTCTAGGCCTGGGCAACTGTAGTGTTGGTCTGCCAGATGAGAAATGGGGGCAGCTCTCTCATGGTTACAACTTTGGGGCTGGCTCACCCACACCTGCACTAATAGGGTTGGTTGGCTCTCCCATTCTTATGACCATGGGGCCAGCTCTCCTACCTGCCGCAAGCATTAATGGGCAGAAGTGGGGGGCCACTCTACCCTGCCCATGCTACCACAAGACAGATGGGCAATGGGGACAGCTCTCCCATGCTCACAATTTCGGGGCTGGCTCACCCACATCTGCACTGACAGGGTTGGCTCTACTGGGCTGCCCTGGTGAGGTACAGGGCCTGCTCTCCTGAGGGTTGCAGCTGGCAGGGATCAGGGACCGCTCTCCTGCTCTTATGATCACAGGAACAGCTCTCCCACCTGTCGTGGGTGCACATGGGCTGGGTGCAGGCAAGGGTGGGGGCTGGCTATTATTAAAGAGCTCGTTCTTAACTAATCTCTAAGTGTGTGGAATAATTTATCACTAGGAAGGCATATTGATTCTACAACACGATAGCAAAAATGGCTGCTGAGAGAAAGAGAAAAGCAAGTTTTCTCTAGGCATAAGGTCCCCTTTAGGTTACCAAGTCTACACATCCATATCCAAAACACACAAAATGCTCTTAGAGATTGAGCATTGGCAGGTAGGGAACATGAGGGGGGATAGAAGGGGAGGAGGATGAAGTTATGTAAATAGAGTGTTCATGTACGAAATTCTCAAGAAAAGTAAAGTCTAAATTAAAAATAAAGTATTCTATGAGACAAATCAAGATTCAAAATTTCCAGTAGTTGTCTTCACCCATGTTAGACAGGCAACGAGATGATAGTCTGCCCTGTGTAGGACAGTGTTGTAGAATATTATTTTAAGTTGTGTTACTTTTGTGTATGTTGCATTTATTTAACTCTGTGAAGCTGTGTTACTTTGCCTGTCTAGAACACCTGATGGTCTAATAAAGAGCTTAAGGGCCAACAAGCAAGGCAGGAGAAAGGATAGGTGGGGTTGGCAGGCAGAGAGAGTTACAGAAGGAGAAATCTGGGAGGGAAAGAGATCTGGGAGTGAGAGAAGGAGGAGGACATCAGGGGCCGGCCACCCAGCTACACAACCAGCAACAGAATAAGAAAGAAAGGTGTACAGAAACAGAGAAGGTAAAAGCCCAGAGGCAAAAGACAGATGGGTTAATTTAAAGTTAAGAAAAGCTGGCAAGAAACAAGCCAAAGTAAGGCCAGGCATTTATAATAAGAATAAGCCTTCATGTGTGTATTTATTTGGGAGCTGGATGGCCAGCCACCCCAAAAAAAAGAGCAAAAACAAACAATAACAGGGCAGAAATGAATTCTGTAAGCATTTGTTGTCTTAAGTTTTGTCTTCTTTTGAACCTTCTCACAGTGCTTGCATTAGTATGGAAGCCCCTCTCCTGGGACTATTGATTCCTCTTTAGTCACAGCTGAAATCCTTTCTAGGTGAAAACAAATTCTGATATTTAAAGACAAGGAGCTCCTGCTTCACTTTTCCTCTGTAGCCATCTGCTAAGCTAAGAGAAAATAAAACCAACCCAGGAATTTGTTTTCACTGCAGTGTACCCACAAATTTTGGAGAGATTGAAACATGTGTTCTTGTTAGATTCCTTCACAGGACTGATCAACATCCTGACAGATATTATTTGGCGATTCACTGGAGACTTCCTGGCCCCAGACCTGGTCTGCAGAGTCATCCGCTATTTGCAGGTATGGGAATCACCTCCCCAGTGTGATGAGCCACACTGGAGCCACACATCATCAGCTCTGGAAATAACATGAAGGGAATAACTACTAAACCTTTGTTCATGGGCAACCAATCACTCCCTTCTTCCTAAGTGAAAGGACAACCAAATTTTCTGTAATTTATAAAACATGGGTATTTCTTTTTCTATAAATAATGTATATGCAAAGCAACAATTAAGAAAATCACAAATACAGCATTGAGTGAAACGGTGGTAAGTAGTAACATTTTTGACATGTTACACTTAAATAATGCCCAAAAGTTCTATCAATGCTTACTGTTTTATCCTCAGTCTCCTCTTCTAGAAAAATGTTAACAAGGTCTGAATAATAAATATTAACCACCTGAATACCAAATAAACTCACTTTCTCAAATATCTATTAGTATTTGAACACCTTATCTAAATTATTCTCCTTCTTCAAATATTTTATAGCTGGGTACTTACTATATCTTCAACTTTGCTAAGATCTACTTTTAAATCTATACACACAGGGCCTGTTGATATGCTTTGATATAAACTGCATATATAGGTAATATGCATATATGGTTTACAACATAGCATAAGATGATTTGAACAGTACTGGGGAGAAGGCCTTGTGGGCAAAGTGCCTGCAATGCATGCATGAGGAACTGAGTTTGTATTCCCAACATCCACATCAAATCTGGACAAGATCATGTGCATCTGTAACCCCAGCAGTGGAGAGACAGAGACTGTCCAACCCCTAAAGTTCACTGACCAGCAAGTCTAGGCAATCTGTGAGCCGTGGTTCAGTGAGAGACCCTGTGCTTCAAATCTTATAATTATATCCCATTAATGTGTTTCTAGTGCAGTTTTTATGCAGTTCTTCAGGTCTAAATTATTTCAGCTTTACAGAAGTATAACAGCACATCTGGAAAGCATTGCCCTCTTAGAGTCCACTTGGTAGGGATTTTAGGATATCTGTATACATATTCAAAAGTAAGATTGTAGTTTCATTCATTTTATTACATTTGGGTCTTGGTAACACTTGTTTCATTGTTCAGAAACAAATGAGAAAAGTTGTGATGTTAATATTTTTGTACTCTGAATATAACTTGAAAAGGAGTCATTGCAGAGGGACACTATTTTATTAGAGTGAATTTGTTTCAAATCCTTTGAGCATGCCAGGGGTATGGTCATCAATATGCAATACTTACATGAAAAATGTCTTCTACCTTCTTGTTGAGAATATTTTTGTGAAGAGAGCTGATTTTAATTATTATATTACTATAATAGTAATTGATTGCAGAATTGCAAATTATAACCAGGCTTAGTAGCCTAAAACAATATGTATTTATCCTTTTGTGGTATCTGTTATTCAAAAATTCAAGAATAGGTTTCTTGGGCTAGATGTAAGTTCATCAAATGGTCCATGGCACTGAGCCTCTGTAGGACAGATCTGGGATCAGGCAATTCTCTTCCAAGGTGGTCACTTATATAACTGACAGCTAATGTGTGGTCTGAGAAGAATGTTCACTTTCTTTCCAATGGGCCTCTGCAATTGTCAGGAGGAAATGGGGATGGTCCAAAGCTATTGCTCTTGACTGAGACATCTGACAAAGATTAATATCTTTTCATAATTAAAAAAAGTTCAAGAAATTAGGAATAGGAAGGAAGCAACTCAATGCAAGAAATGTTGTATGTGGCAGGACCACAACTAACACCACACTCAACAGTGATGATAGTACAATGCTCCTTCTCGAAGATCACCAGCAGACAAGGATACCAGCCTTGCCTCTTCCACTCACCTGGAAAGGCTGCCAACAGGAAGAAATGAAAACTTCCAAATTAGAGATGCAGAAGCAGAAATGCCTCTAAGGAACCTGCCAGAAAGTTAGAATTATAAATAAAGCCAAGAAATTGCAGATATAAAATCAAAACACAAAAATATGGAGCATACCTACACACAAAAGTATTCAAAAGAGGAATTGTGAAAACCACTATACTTATAATAGCTACAAAAATATAATAAAACACTGAGGAATATATTTGGATAAGTATTTGTCAGGTCTAAAAGCTAGTAATTATAAATCTACAATTAAATAAGTTAAAGGAAAAAAGAAACAAGAGACAAGTGAATGGAAAGAGAGTTAACACCCATGGATCAGAAGAAATGCTTTTTCTAAAACTGTTTTAAACGATCCATAGATGCAATGGAATCCAAGTAGAACTCCAACTACATTTCTCACACAAATAGAAAACACAACTACAATACATACAGAATCATAAAGACCCCATATAGATGAATCAGTATTGAACAAGGAGATAAAAGCTACCTCTGTCATACAGCTTGATTTGAGAAATACATGGTAATGTCACCTACAATTAGTGGATTAGTGTTAATCTCTGTCTTTAGTTTCAATACTGCACTTTTATGAAACTTGGTGCAGCAGAGTTTGGTGTATACATATTTATAATTGGATTGTAATGTCTTTGATAACTGTCCCCTTGACTAGAATGAACTGACCACCTGTATTTCTTCTGGTTACTTTTAGTTTGAAGTCTATGTTGTTAGATATTAGAATAGTGACGTCTGCCTGCATCCCAGTCCCATTTCCTTGGAATACTTTTTTATGTCCTTTCACTTTTAGGTGGTCCCCATCTTTTGAGTTAAGATGAGTCTCTTGTAGACAATATAAAGACAGATTTTGTTTCTCAACCCATTCAACTAGCTTGTGTTTTAAGATTGAAGAGTTGAAGCCGTTAATATGATTGAGAAGTGTTGATGTCACGTTGTTTTGTTTTGCTGTCTGTGTCTTTAGTTGTTAGTGTTTCAGCTGTTGCGGCTTCATTTACTATCTTTCTAGAGTCGCTTCCCTGTACTTAATCCTCTCTTCATTCTGAAATGTTCAAGAGATTAGCAATAGGAAGAGAGTAACTCAACACCATTTCTTCTTTTTTAATATTTAAAAACATTAGTTATTTAAAAATAGAGAACCTGCAAACCACCAAAGCTTCTTAGAGACAGCAACCACACATTTTACCTCTAAAGCACTCACAATAGCTGTTAAGAGTATTAGAGCAGGGAGAAGTGTGCCTACAGTGAGTCTGGTCACTTTTACATCCACTAAGCAGCCATCAGCTGCCAGAATAACTACTTTTAAAATTTCTTTTAAGCTCTCTCTGTCTAATCCCAGCTATTTTCTGTGGGAAAATTAAACTATTTTTTTATTCTTCTCTCATGTATTACATCCTGAACACAGTTTCCTCTCCATTCCCTCTGCCCAGCTCCTCCCATTGCCTCCCCTCTCCCTGAGGTTCCCCTCTGACCCCATGCCCATGCTTGCTTACCCTCTGAAAAGAGCAGGTCTCCCAGGGACATCAGCCAAACACAGCATAAAAGCTACAATAAGACCAGGCACATACCATCAAATCAAGGCCGGACAAGGCAACCTAGTAGTAAGAGAAGAGTCCCGTGTGTAGGCAAAAAGAGTCAGAGACCACCCCTGCTTCTACTGTTAGGAATCCCACAAGAACACTAAGCTACTCAACCATAACATATATGCAGAGAAGCCTTACAGACCCTGATATATATGTAAGATGCTTACAGGGTTCCCTGATCTCTGTAAGCTCCCATGAGTCCTGGTCAGTTGATTCTGTGGGCCATGTTCTCATGGTGTCCATGACCCCCCTAATTCCTAGGATCCTTCCTCCCCATCCTCTGCAAGGGCTCCCTGATGTTTGGGTCTCTGCATCTGCTCTCATCAGCTGATGGTCTCTCTGGTCCCTTTGATGACAATTCTGCTAGGCTCCAGTCCCAGAACACTCTACAGGCAGGACAAACTGTGGGTCGAGGCCTTGCCTGGTTACAGAAGATGGCTGGTTCAGGTTCCTTGTACCCCATTTGGCTTACTGAGTTTTTCAATTCCATTATCATTTACATTTGAGTTCTATTTAATATTGATATATCTTTATTGAATTCAGTCTTCAAATCCTGGATTTTCTTTGTCAATTCATTCATCTGTATATTTGTGTTTTCCTGGGAATCTCTCAGGCATTTATTACTATTCTCTTTAAGCTCATTGAACTATTTGTCTTCTTCTAATTCCTTGAATTATTTGATGAAGTTTATGGTTGTTCTTTTGAGTTCTGCATCCTCTAATTCTTTTAGGTAATTCTCATTGGAGAAAATTTCTATAGGAATGATGGATTTGAGGGAAATATACTGTCTTGGCCTTTTGCATTGTTTGTGTTTTTGTGACGAGACCTGGCTATGTGGATTTCTCTGTTTATCTAAGATTTTAAACTTGCAAACTGAATACAGGCACATAGAAAAAATTCTGTGCGCCATAATCACATTAGCTTTATCTCAGAGATTTGGGGATGATTCAATATATAAGTCAAAAAAGTAATAAATCATATGATGGACTTAAAGACAAAAACTACATGGTCATCTCAATAGATGCAGAAAAAGCTTTTGACAAAATATCCAACATACCTTCATGATAAAAGTCTTCAATAGCGTAGGACTAGAGGAAACACAGTTCAACATAGTAAGGGCTGTATATGACAAACCCAAAGTCAACAGCATCCTAAATGAATAAAACCTCAAAGCAACCCCATTAAAATCAATAAGGACACATGGCTGTTCACTTGTTCACCAATCATCGCTCTTTTTCAATATGGTTCTTGAAGCACTAGCTAAATCAGTAAGTAAAAAGAAGGAAATGGACAAATGTATTAAATGGATACAAATTGGAAAAGAACTATTCAAATTATCCCTTTGTTCAGATGATATATTAAACACAGAGATCCCAAAATTTTCATCAGAAAACTTTTGAAAACTATCAACAAATTCAGCAAAGTGACAGGATACAGAATCAACTTACAAAGATCAGTAGACTTTCTCGACAGCAACACAAACATGCTAAGAAATAAGTCATGCACAAAGTGTTCACAATAGCTTCAGAGGATATCTAGTAATAACTAACAAAAGAAGTAAAAGAC